TGGAGTGACATGTGCATGCTACTGCCCACAAGATACCCAGCTAAATTGTGTGTTTAAAACTCATCTTGCAGAGGATGAGTTTTGGGTAAATCATGAAAGGACTTTGATGAGAAATTGAGTGCCAAGAATTTATTCACACCTATGTGTGCTGTCTTATTTTGTTCCATGTTGCACCATGTTTGTCCTGGAGGAATGTTATTTTAGTCCACTGTGTACTTGCACATAGATGGAATGACAATAAAAGCCTCTTGACTTGACTTGACTTGACCTGACTAGAAAAAAAGGGTTGCAATGTGCACTAGCACCTTTGTTGCTCTTCGGAACAATTACTCATTACCAGAAGGTGAGGTGTTATCCAGAAATAGCAAGCAGTTCCATTGATTGAGCTAGGACAAGGGAATGAAGAAAATACCTCGGATGATGTTGTTTCTAAGAGAAAGGGTTGGTAGTGCCAGAATATGCTTTACAAAAATTGTAGAGCTTGCCATAATAAGCATATACCAAACATAGTAATTACAGAAGGATCTGTGGATTGCTGGAAGAGTGTTACACCTTGCCCATTGCTTTGTTTGCTGGATAGCTTGAATCTTAGGATAGGATTAACAAGGGTTTGGAAAACTGTACAGCGATGAGTAAACATATCCCAGCCCCACCACTCATTATTAGAGACAGTGGTTTGCCTTATCCTTTTTGTTTCTGTAAAGAAGACAATGGGGCAACTAATATTGCAACCAGATGTGACCAGATGTTAAACACCACCATTAAGATAAGTAATAAGGGAAATGTCACCTTTGATATAGATTTTAATGGTTTAATGATCCAGTCACAGACATATTCTAGTTTTGTAGAAAAGAGAGAGAGAGAGTTGTAACTGTTCCTCTCAGATGACTGGGTAGGTTGTTGTGCTTGTGTCACACTCAGTGGGAAGGTTAGTCAAAGTCAAGTGAACGTTTATTTAAAAACGCTTTTTACAAGTGACGTTGTCACAAAGCAGCATTACAGAAAAAAAAAGTGTCTGAGCCCCCATGAGCTCCGCCAATGGCGACAGTGGCAAGGAAAAACTCCCTAAAAGCACGAGGAAGAAACTGAGACTCAAAAGGGACCCATCCTCCTCTGATTGACACCAGATAGCAAACAATAAAAGCAGAGAATAAAGTTTGACCATCAGTATAAGATACGGAAAAGGGAAAAGCACGAAAAGCAATGTCTATGATTAAAAAAAGCAGCAGTGTTATCAGCAGGGTCAGTGGCATGCAGGTGAGGTTTGCACAGCATTCTACAGCAGGAAGCTCAATGGTGGTCAAACTGGTATAGAACGCTGGCATGCAGTCTGCACCCGGTCAGGGCAGATGAAGCACTAGCATCAGGCTACACAGGGTGGGCAGTTATTCAGCATGGCAAAGAAACACACAGGCAGTTAGTTCTGTTAAGAGTGACTGACTGCTGCACTCTGCTAACACTGTGTACTGTAGAGACTCTGACAGGTCAAGCTATTATAGCCTCACTAAAAGTGAGAGCCAAAAGGTAACAGACATGAGGGCTCCCTGAGATATCAGCACCCCTCCACTCCACTATCAACACACTTGGAAGCATGAGAGCAGCGGGACGACACCGAACACTGACTGGAACATTATTCCAAAGCGGAATATTATTTGCTGATGTAACTTTATTCATTCTAACTACTAATAGTAAGCCAGCACCCTGTGATCTAAGTCAGCGTGCTGGTTCACAATAACAGATAAGTTCCCTCAGGCTGTTTAGAGGTTCATATGTCAGTAAAAGAATTTAACTGGCAACCAGTGTAGCTTTGATAAAACTGGGCTGGTATGGTCGAACTTTCTAGTTCTTCTAGGAATTGTGGCTGCAGCATTCTGGACCACCTGAAGCTAGACTTTTGCTGGAATGTCCAGACAGCAGGCCATTGCAGTAATCCAGCCTTGACGTAATAAACACATTAACCTTTTTTGCATTTTGCAGAAACAGTGCATTTCTTAATTTTGCAATATTGTGAAGATGGAGGATAGCTGTTCTAGTAATATTGGTTATATGTGAATCAAAGTAATATTGGGATCAATTGGGATCGATCGTAACACCAAGGTTTTTTACAGATGTACTTGATGAAACTGAGAAACTATTTAGTTTAAGCATTAAATTAGACCTTTTGTTTCTAGCAGCTTTTGTACCAAGAAAAATGACCTCTGTGTTGTCAGAGTTGAGTAGAAGGAAGTTACTCAACATCCAGTCTTTTATGTCCTTTACACAGTCCTCAATCTTATTAAGTTTAAATTTATCATCTGGTTTGGTCGATATATACAACTGTGTGTCATCAGCGTGGCAGTGGAAATTGATGTTGTATTTACTGATAATAGTATGCGGTAGTAGCATATATAATGTGAATAATAGAGGTCCTAAAACAGAGCCTTGCGGAACACCATAGAGGTTATTCTGGAAAAATGTATTTGAGTAGACTTGTAGGAATGGGATCTAATATGCACATAGAAGATTTTGAGGAGGAAATAATTTTAACTAGCACAGTTTGTTGAAGTAAGTTAAACAATTCCAGTCTCTGCAGTAGTTACACTGTACTCAAAATCTGGGTTAGCTTTGTAGAACAGCAGGTTTGTAGATGTTGACTGTGCATTTTGAATTTCTTGCTTGATTGTTTAAAGTTTAGTATTGAAGAAATTAATAAAATTATTGCTGCTGTAAGCTGATAGTATCTGGGGTTCAGTAGTTGTTTGGTTCTAATCAATTTAGAAACTGTGTGAAATAATACTCCGGAATTATTCTTATTATTTTCAATGAGAGAGGAGAGAGAGGTTGAGCATGCGGCAGTAAGGTCCCTTCTATAGTCTACGAGGCTATCCTTCCAGGTGGACTGTAATACATCTAGTTTAGTTAGTTAATTCCTGCAAAAAGTGACCTTTGTCTGACTTGTTGATGTGTTGCATCTGATTTGGGCCAGGTGACATACTGGTGACCTCTTCCTGGCTCACTACATGCCTCACTATGTGGTGCAAAGAACATTCTGTAAGAAAAGCACCAGAAAACTCTAACCAGAGGCCAGTAAGGGAACTTTTGAACCTTAAGAATAAGAAGGCCAGTTGTATAAGTGTTATATAAAGTGGTTGTGTTAGACAGCGCTAGGTAAAAATAGTGTGACTGTGCCATGCACCCGTCTCCCAGGCCCTGATGACAGCTGCGAGAACCAGTGGGATGGCAGCTTTAGCTCCTTTTAAGAGGAGCAGAGAGGGAATGGAGAGAGAGAGTGGGACGACAGACAGTAATACTATACTTGAAGGGTGTCTACATAACACATTCATAACATCTTACATAAACGCTTCATAACATATTCATGAATGTTTAAATTAACATTTATAAATCATACCTGTTTTACATGATATTAATATGTACTACTATGTCAGTTTACTGAGAATTTTTTTTTCAAAATAAAAAAGTAAAGTCCTAATTTTTTATTTTGAAAAACTACATTATTTTCAGTGAAATGCTTCATTTCTGGACAGCCAAAACAAAAATGACCTTGCTTTATCCCTTTGGTCATTAAGTGCTTTGACACTTTTAATTTCTTTTTGATTATTTGTTCCTTCTTAAGCATTTGTATTTCACACTTTGGATCTTTAAATTTCAATGCAAAGTACTCTACTTACATTCATATGGCTATCCAGCATCTACAGGGAATAGATGAGTTTTATGGCCCTGTAAAATTACTTCATGCAATAATTCCCACCATCAAAGTATGATTCAGTCGAATGATGGCTCATAGTTTATTTATGAGTGATTTGTTGTTCATATAGTACAGTGACATGCAACAAATATTCAAGAAAAATCAAATAATTAAAAAGTCAATAGTATGGGTAAAATGTGCCTGGGTGTTAAAGCACGTTGCTCACAGCTTTATGCAAGCTGTATGCATATTCTGAGCTAGTGAGCACGTTGCTCCCTAACTCACAACATGCACACAATGCACGAAAGCTTCCTTGATACAAGTTGTTCTGGTACAGCTTGTCCAAAACCACTGCAGCATATTCATCATTACTTTGAATCTAACAAACATTTTGTTGTGTTGATTATCTTCTAGTTTCCTTGACTTTTTTGCTGTCATAAACATATACATATCTAACTGAACACATTATGTCACTGTTACAATATTTTAACACATCAGAAATGTGATTGGGGCTACTTTGAGAAAGGAACACATTTTTAATGGCCAAATATGCAATCCATAGCCAAAGCTAATTAACACAGTGTATGCTATGCTGTAATTTACATACAGACATATACATGCAGTTCATATAGATTTATCATACTAAAAGGCAATGTTTCACTAAACAGAAGACTGATTTAATCTTAAAATGCTTAAGTTGATCTTAAACTTGAATTTCTGACACAATTTAGTGTCTTAGTAAAAACTCCTCCCTGGGTTCCTGGGTTGGTATGTTGAAGGACAACACTCTCTAATTATTTTGGCTACCCGATTCATTTAGACACCATTCCTGACATTTCTAATGATCATTAAATTACAGATTCATTTAGTAATGAACACAGTAAAACAACCTGAAGAGCAGCATTGATGTAATGTCACACAACCTTAACCATTTTAGCATCTTGCTTTGATTTCTCCATTGCAACTCTTGCTAATGACTTTAAGAGGAAAATGATAACTAAGATTAACAATAACAAAACATTACATCAGCCTTATATCCACTAATAACACCAAAGCACACCATCTCCACTGATAAACATGGCGTAAAGAAGGAAATAGGAGAACAATAAATAAAATAATAATAAAAAAAGTATTATTAGAAAAACTATAAACCTATGAAGAAGTATCACTTAATTATTAAAGCAAAAGTACCATTTAATAAAACTTTACAGCCACATGTATAAGCAGATTCTTCCTCAAATATCTAAAACATTTCTTTACACTTCTATTGTTCTATTTGGCTCTGAATTGAAAAAAAAAAAGACAGAGTACTCACATCTTAAAATCCTTATAGTTTTTCCATTCATTTTAGTAATCCTCTGTGGAGATGTTCTTGTCTGCAGACCAACAGGTCATACATGTGCCTTCTGGTTTGCACAGAACGTGAACTTTCTTTTCTTAAGTGTCAATAGTTTACATATCTATTCATAAAGAAATGATGTGGTCTTGAATATGTGCTCACTGCTTGCTGGTGTGGTGTGCCTTTAAAACAAAGGACTGTGCTCCATTTTCTCCTGGACCTTTTCCATGTAACTTGTGGAAGACAAATGAATGGGGCCCATGCATTATATGGAAATAATTTCCATATAGCTTCCAATAAATTCATTTGCATATTCCACATAAGGTTCAGTAGTCTACATTGTCAAGTAATTTCTAATCTGAAAATAGATTATCCCAAACTGAATCAAACATGTCAGGCTGACCAAAAAAAAAAGTTGTTAAATATTGCAAGCGGAAAGCTGTAAATTTAGGACCACTTTCATTTCTGTTCAATGTTTAATTAACTCTTTAATTATTCTTTAGGTTATTAAATGATGTTAGTGATTAATGCATTTAATTTGAAGTAAGTTTGATATAATTCAATAAACATGGTCTTGAGTAGACCATGAGTAAGGAAAAAAACACTTTACATTGAGTTCATTAAGCATTAATTATTACTTAGTTACTGATTATGTACTTAGTAATTAGTAATTCACTACACTGTTAATTGAAGTTTAATTTGTTACTCTCTTACCACTGGATACCTCTGCTATGACACCCAACTTATACTTTCCTTCCCACCTTCTCATACTCATACTAATCCAGAATGCAGCAGCACAGCTTGTCTTCTCATCTCAAAGTTCACTCATCTCACTCCACTGCTGTGTTTCTTTCACTGGCTTCCTATAGCTGCACACATCAGATTTAAAAACCTGATGCTTGCCTCCAAACCAAAAATGGACCAGCCCCATGTCTACCATTGTGTAGCGTCCCCTCTTTTTTAACAACATCCTGTAAATGTCTGGGAAGTGAGGAGACCAATAGCTGGAGTTTTGGAAGAGGAATATTGTCCCATGCTTGTCTGATGTAGGATTCTAGCTGCTCAACTGTAACATGACAGAAATGGCCAGACGTTCGCAGTAAAATCCAGAAGATGAGGCTTTAATATCAAAGGGGTTGGCAAGAATCGTAGTCAGTAAACATGCGTGGATCAATCCAAAAGCAGAAATGTACAACAGGGTAAACATAACCAGAGGGGCAAAGACATAAGGCAAAAATCAGGAATGCAGAAAATGGTCCAAAACACAATAAAGTCAATTGAAAAGACACGTGAGAAATGCTCAGTAACTCTACGAGAGAAGCAATATCTTGCAAATATCCTACGCTAAATCCTGGGCTTAAATACTAAACGAAGAAGTCATATGACAAGTCACACAGGTGGAATACATCAGTACTCTAGATAGTTTGAACAATGACAGGTTTAGTGCTCGGGTAGGGGAGTCATGTGGTCTCCCAATGAATTCTGGGAAATTAAGTCTCTATGTAAGTCAAGGCTGGAAGGGTGTGTGACAGTAGCACCCCCCCCCCACACACACACACACACACACTGTGATGGCCAAGGGATGAGGCCAGCCAACCACAATGACTCTCCATGCTGGTAGGAGCTCAGCCAAGGGACTAACCCCACTGTTGATCATTCTGGTGTAGATCCGCTTGTTGCTTGTTCTGACAAAGTGCCATCTCAGTTCGCTGGTGGGTCTTCTCCCAGACCCTCTCACTGTGTTGCATCCATTCATCAACCACAGGAACACTAGATGAAAGTCCTGTCCATGGTGCTATTGGGGGTTGGTAGCCCAGAACATACTGAAACAGGGTTAGTCCCTGTTAGCTCTTGGTTAACTTGCTCACACTGGCCATTAGATTGTGGGTGTTCAAACAAAGCTGCCCATTGTCTTCAGGAATACCAAAAAATTGGAATAAATGATTAACTAGAACTTCAGCTGTTTGAAAAGTGGTCGGGATAGCAGGAAAAGGAAGAAACCTTACACTGTGAGAAAATCTATCTATAACAGTAAGATCAGTGGTAAAGCCTTGTGACTCAGGTAAATCCATAACAAGATCTAAAGCAATATGACTCCATGGTCTATTAGGGACTGGTAATGGCATAAGTTTACCCGCAGGTAATGGAATGGGGGTTTTACACTGACAGCACACAGAACAAGAAGAATCAAACATATGGATAAAAGTTAGCAAGACCCAGGAAATGTTGCAGTTCCTTAACAGAATTAGGTTGGCGGCTTCCACCTTGTGGTCATCCATAACGACACCGTTCTGATTGATCACAGAAAAGACACCGTTTGCTGTGAAATTCACATTTCTCACCCTTGACCTAGGGGCTGTTTTCAAGGAGTCATTGAAGGACTGAACGAACCTGTTGAACGTGAGTTTCTAAGTCAGGGGAGTAAATTAGAATATCATCGATCACAAACTGACTAATCATGTCCCATAGAACATCATTAATGAAGGCCTGAAACACAGAAGGGGCATTAGGTAAACCAAAAGGCATAACAAGGTACTCATAATGCACCCTAGTGATAACAAATGCTATCTTCCACTCATCTCCCTCACGGACTCTTACCAGATTGTATGTAAGTCTAGTTTGGTGAAATACTGGGCTCCTCTATGTTACTCTAAGGCCATTGGGATTAGGGGAAGAGGGTAGGGATATTTCTTAGTGACTTGATTTAACGCTCAATGATCTATGTGAAGGGCAAAGGGCGAAGACCACCGTCCCTCTTTTTCTAACAAAGAAAAACTCGGGAGTCTAATAAATCCCTGCTCCAATGCGTCTTGTCCGTATGTGTTCATAGCTGGTTCTTTATCTTGAGTCAATGGATAAATTCTAGATTTAGAAAGAGTAGCATTTTCTAGAAGATCAACAGTGCAATCATACATGCAATGTGATGGCAATTTGGTGGCATTTTTCTTATTAAACACCTCCTGGAGATCAGAATATAAAATGGTACAAAAATAAAACCAGTATTCAGATCAGGAAGTAAGCGAGCAGGAAGACCAAGAAATACAGTGATAATGCTGTTTTAACCAGAGAAGGCCTACGATTACTGAAAATTCAGATGATTCTAGCACTAGGAAGGATAACTGTTCATTGTGGAGAGCACTGGCACACATTTTAACGAGTGATGGCACCAGGACTCACAGGCTCTCAATCTAGTGCCACTACATGTAGCAGTACCTCCAAGGGCATCACAGGGATCTGCAATTGAGTCTCCAGTCTTGAGTGAATGAAGTTTCCCTCTGCTCCGGAATCAATCAGAGCTGGAATGACAGAGAGATCTTGGCAGTAACTGGTCACAGGTCAGCACCAGATGTCTAGGTGAGCATGCCTGACACTCACATAGAAAGTGTTCTTCACTGCCACAGTAGAAACAAGTCCTTCATTCATACAACGATCCCTTTTCTTGGCTAATAAACGGGATGAGTCACACTGCATGGGTTCTTCTGGATCTTGATTCCCCAGGGATGAAACTGCTGGTGGTCTTGCTCTTCTTTTTGTCACTGAATGACCAGTAAATCAGGCTTATTCCATCCACTCCCAGCATGTAATGTATGCTGTAAGCTAATGTACAGAATTCTAGGGAGTACTCAGCTACTGTACAATTCCCTTGCCACAGTTTCATCAAAAGCTCTCTACTAACTTTACCATCATGAGGATGATTGAAAACCATGTGAAAATCTTTCAAAAACTTTTCATAGGATTGTCTTTGTATTCTAGGCTAAATAGCAGTCACCCATTCTAGTGCTTTGCCAGTAAGTCTGGAGATTAGAAAAGAAAATTTAGGTTGAACTGAACCGAATTGTTGAAAAATACAGCACATTGGAGAAGAAAACCATGACATTTCTCAGGGATTCCATCAAACTTATCAGGCTTATTGACCGAAAAAACAGCTTTCAGGCAGTTCAATGGGTAGAGAAATAGAAGCGGCAGGCTCATTCTTAACCGACATACCTAGGGCTTAGAGTTGTGAGGTTAGCTCCTTCACGTTAGCAACCAACTGGACCAGTAGTGCTTCTAGAGAATGAGTTACGCCAGCCAATACCTGTTGGTGTTGCCCAAGAAAATGACCCTGATTGTTAGGGGCCTTCTGTAAAGACTCATCAACCACCTTCTGCATTGATGGTGAGGTATTCCGTAACGTGACAGAAGGAGCCAGACGCTCGTGGTAAAATCCAAAAGATGAGGCTTTATTATCAAAATACATGATTATACATGATTAACTAGACAAGGATTGTAGTCAGTAAACATGCGTGGGTCAAATCCAAAACAGAAAAAAGGTACAATAGTTAAGTTTGTTTATGGAGAGATATTAGGGAGTAATAGTGCAAACGGAGAGTGTGTGTCTGAGTCCCAAACAGAGCTTGGGAGATGATTCCACAATTTTGGGGCTACATAGGAAAATGCTTGACCCCTGCTGTGGTTTTTCTAATTCTAGGAACTGTCAGCAAGCCATTATTTTGTGAGTGGAGCGTCATGTGGGTGAGCATGACCGATTTAATTCACTAAGATACTGCGGGGCCATTTAATGATTTACATGTTAACGAATGACATCAAATTTAACAGGTAGCCAGTGTAATGATGACAGGATTGGAGATATATGGTCAAACTTTTTGGTCCTTGTAAGGACTCTAGCAGCTGCATTCTGGACCAGTTTGAGCTTATTTAGTAACTTATTGGAGCATCCAGCTAAAAGTGTATTACAGTAATCCATCCTGGAGGTTATAAAAGCATGCACCAGCTTTTCCGCATCATTCAGAGATTGAATATTACATAATTTAGCGATGTTATGCAAGTGAAAGAATGCAGTTCTAACAATGTTGCAAACTTGTGTATCAAAAGAGACACTGGAATCGAAGATGACGCCTAGATTTTTTACAGTAGTGCTTGGAATGACCATATGGCCATCTACATTTAGTTCAAATTTGGAGAGTTCAGATCGCTCTGCTTTGGTTCCAAGTAATAGGACCTCAGTTTTGTTTTGATTAAGAAGAATGAAATTGTTGGTCATCCATCCTTTGATATTTTTAAC